GCTGGACAACCTGCTGAGTGTACGCGTTAGTTGGAGGGAAGTGGCTGACAAATGGACATCATTCAATGTCATTTACATTGACTTCTCCAGTGCGTTCGACCGCCAGGACTACCGCATTCTGATTCTCATGGTACTAATTTACGGAGTTCGAGACACTGTCCTTGGGTGTATCAAAAATTTTCTACAGCGTCGGCAATTGCAGATAAAGGTTTGAGTTACACTGTCCGAGCCGATTAGTATCACATATACAGTTTAACGAATATGAATGCTGAGGCCGCATCTGTTTCGCTTATTCAATAAAAAGCTTACGCGTCTAATCGCCTCGGATTTATTGCTGATGATGTTAGATGTGACTGGTGGTCGCTAACCAAGGAGATCACGATGCACTTCAAAGAATCCTGGACAGAGATTATGAATGGTCATCCCAGGAGCGTGATCTCATGGTATTAATTCAGGCTAACCTGTGTTGCTCAGCATAGTCTGAGAAAGCGTCCAAACTAAGAACAGCAAGTCGGTATAATTCAGATGGAAATCAGACGATTTAATCCCCAATGGAATGGTCTAGTGTTGAATACGTTGTCCGGGCCTGGCAGCCTAGGAAAAGCAAGACCTAAAATCGCTCAAAATTATCCAGTGACGCGAGACCAGAAATGTCGAACTACTGCTTCACATTCCATATCAACTTAGGCTAACGAACCTAAGGTTGTATGTAGATCGGTTAGTTTTGAGCCTACGTGGCGACCTAATAATGACCGACCAAATTATGGGGAACCCCAACAACGCCTACCGCTGCCCACTTCAACTTAGGCGACCTTTGAAGTTAGCCACGAAATGCAGTGAGCTGGAATGGTGCCAACACTTTAACTTTCTTCGTGTCTACTACCAACGAACAACCTTCCCAAAACTGTTGTTTCCGCCCCCATGTTATCTGCATTTTAAAACTCCTTGTCGTTGCCCTAATACACATGATTGGCAGCATCCGGTTTCGGATTCGCCTGTCACTGTGGCCAGCCACAGGACGCCTAGTACACAAACAATACGAAATATAGCCATTGTACATCGAGACAGTAGGTTGTAACAAACGGTACACCGATCAGCATTCTGGTGAGTGCACCAACTCTAGTTTCGTTTCTCTATTTTGTGGATTTTATTCTAGTCGTCCCACGGACTTGTTACATACTTACATTTTACTGGTAAAACCAGTATTTTACTACACAACTGCGCTCATAATGACTTTGATACGACAAAGATATCCCCAGTTGGAACTGATTTGACTTGTTAACTCCGTTACATCCCCCGTTTGGCTGAACGTCATGTACTTTAAAGATTCCAGCTAGTCTCCATCACAATGTAACATACAGTACCAGGCAGGGAAGATCTAAGCATTAAAACCACACTCCGCATCGATTCAGCGGTCGAGAGGCCCCATAAATTCGATAATGGTTAACGGTCCTGCAAGGTGCTATACAGAAACATTATGCATCTCCTACAACTTTGAGTGGGTAAACGAAGTCAAATAGATAATCAAAGGCTAAATGCAAACCTGACACTTGGCCGTTATAATAGAACTACTTCACGCACAAAATTTCCGTCTACAGATAATCCGTCAAGATAGAAGCCACACTCGACTGCTGATTTTCGTGCTTTTGAGCTTTTATCACTGACTTTACGTTACACGGAAGCAGTGGAAGCTACGTGAGCCAACTAGCCATGTTAAAGGTCAAAACTCAACGGATTCTGTTACGTACTTCCTGTAAATTAGTTATTGGAAACATTTGTAGAGCGACATCGAGTGCGTGCATCAATCACATTGAAAACATCATCCGCTCCTTGCTTCATTTAGTACGATCAGGGCAATACTCCGCACAGATTTTATTATGCCGTTTACCTGATGAATAGTGTGGACCAAGCATTTAAACTCACCGTACGACTACCTTGTTAGTACCAGCACAAACATTAGCCACAAAGGTACCAACATGTCAACGTATGCATCAGCAAGGAAGGTAGCCAGCTCCGGAGGCAATATATGAAAACCCGCCGAAAATCACAAATATTGTTCAATTATTCGTAAGGGCCTAATGCACTAAGGACATGGTCCCACTGAACTCGTAAGTTCTGCTGTATGATCATTAGTTCTGTTTCGAGTTTCAACACACTCAGTAATGTTGTCCAGTATATTTCTGCTACTCATTACATGATAAACTGAAGCACAATTCAACGACATCTGTGACGCCTGCATCGCCGACTACAGCAGTCCCGATCGACTTCGCAACGTTCACGCCTTTGACTGCAGCGTTGACAAAATCCTCTCCTGTGGCAAACTGTTCCGGTGCAACAGTCCGAACTGCGCCTGCAAAAATTGTTCTCCTCGATGCACTGGGTGCAGCGGCCCGAGCAACGCTCACAACGACGAGAACATTTCAGATCCGATGAGCAGTCCTTGTTGCTATGGCAACTTGTCGTATTCTGCGCTCCTGTAAAGCAGAGATTAACTATAGTCGTCAGGCAAAACAAATTTGACATACCGAGCACACAGAACACGAGGACCACAAGAATATTTAGCCCTAAAGCCAGTTTAGAGTGCATCCTTCCGTGAACCCAGCACAGGTGGTTTAATCTCGCTGGCTTTTGTAGAACTGTTAAAGTACTCAGTCCACTGAGAGTGTAGCTCAATCGTCAAGGACGAATCACTGTTTAATCCAAATTGATAAGACATTTACCACTAATGGATTAGCCTAGATCGTATTTTGAACAGATGGCATAGAAAAACAGTGAACGGAATTGAGTAGCAACAGTAGGTTAAAGTGCGCCTTGTAGATGTCAACTTCAGGTGCTTAGCGGGATTAACGGATTCTGCGGTGTACACGTGTGCGTCAATTTCGATCACGGATTTCTCACTAGAATCCAGAACGGATTAGAAAAGCAACCATATGCGATCGAAGGTTATCTATAGTACCATTCAGAGGCCGAGAAGAGCAGTCAGCTGATACCTGAGTTTCGGCTTCCTTACTATTACTACCACTACTATTGCTCCCTCAATTCGATCACGGCTTTCCCCTAAAGTACATCGGATTACCTGGAGCAACTTATTTCACATTGAGGCTGTTAAGCTGTAGCCGCATCTACAATATCTTGTTTAAGCATCGACCTCACCTTTGTATCAACTAGTTAGACATATCCGACATACAGTTCGTGGCCGTTAATAATCCAGACTTACAGTTCGCCGATTCTATTTGGTGTGGCCTGCAATTTCATGGCAGAGACACATGCATAATTGCTTTGGCGTACCGCCCCCCAAACTCTACACCGGAAATGGACTGCCACCCTGTGACAGCTTTCAGATGCAGTCTAAAGTGAAAGCACACTTACATCCTTATCATGAATGATTTCAAGGTGCACTGTTTAGAAACCACTGTTAGAGTCGGAGAACCATTCAAAGCAGATCTGCAAGAGCTTGTAACCATTGTTCCACTTTACATTCACACCATTGGGCTCATTCACTTCAGAACAGGTAATGGACCTTCTTTGCTGGAGCTTGTTTTTACCAACGAAGAACATATGCTTGATGTATTGATTGTAGAATGTCATTTGGGTAACAGTGCTCATGCACTCATCAGTTTCGATTTCATCTGCTATGCGGAATATCGCCACCAGAACACTGAGATGGTGCGCACCATTGCGCGCTACGACCGCTTAGCCCAGCTCGTCAGTGCCACAACCTGGTCATTCCTCGCTGAAGGTCGCCCGGAAGTCGGTTGGCTTTAATTCGTCAGCAAATTCAATCAACTTGTTACGGATGTCTCAGAGACAAAGGTTTGCAATTGGCCTAAAACCGTTTCTTTCGTGAGAAGCAGAATTTGAAAATGGATGACTGTACATGACGCAGCCTGACGAGAGTACAGATCCCATCAAAGCCAGGTAACTAGGACTACTACGTAGCCCATCGTAATCACTACACTCGGATGCTCAAAAATGACAAAGTCTGATAACAGCAGAATTTGGCGAAAACTTTCGGCGCTAAGCACCAACTGCTGTACAAGTAGGTCAATGGCCATTGTAAGCTGAGGCAGTGAATTCCTCCGCTGCAAACAGCTGATGGTCTAAAGTGAACAGCTATAGAAGCGGCAAACGCGTTGCGGACGCAATATGCTCCCACATTTCTGAAAGACTTCTCATTAGACCGTCTTACAGCTTTTCTTTTCCCGCCTGCAGGACTCATCCATATCCCTTTTACTGCCGAATCTTCAGTGCATAAGCTTGCGTATTTACGCAACCACAGCTCCTCGGGAGTCGACGCCATTCGCCCAGTGGTACGGGGAACAGTAGCAAGGCATCTGGCAAAACCGCTGGCCCAGTTCTTTTAGCGCTGCTTAGACCAGAAGCATAATCATGAGGTGTGAAATCTTTGATTAATTACTCCGACTCACAAAGACGGAAGCAGGACTGAGTCCTCAAACCACCGCCCAGTGTCTCTTCTCCCTGCATTATCCAACGTTATGGTGTCCATCCATGTCGATTCGGTGGGGTGTTGTGCAAATGTGACAGTAGGACTCCCGAGCAATACGAGTTTCGTCGACAGTGATCTTACACATCGATTCTATTAAGCGCACGGAGTATCTGGTCCGACCTGTGTGACGCTGAAGAGACCTTTGATGTGATCTACTTGAATTTATCGAAGGCATCTGATCGTTTAGATCATCAGCTTCTGCTTTCCAAGGCCCAACATTACGAGATCGGTGACTCACTCTTGAGCTGGATCGCCACTATTCTCCTGCAACGACATTTAGTGGTCAGCATCCGGGGTAGTTTATTTGAACTCATACAACGCACGACTAGTGGGCCTCAGGGTTCAGTTCTAGATTCACGATTGTTTTTGGTATACGTCAGTGTCTTTGCAAAGAAAATTGCCTCAAGTTTCCTGACGTTCGCTGACAATATCAAGATATGGCGTCTGATTCAGGCGGATTCCGATCGGAATGTAATTCAGTCTGATCTGGCTACAGTACACGACTGGTCAACCTAAAACCGGTAACAGCTCAACGTGGACAAATGCAAGGTACTCTCCATCCGACCCCAGAGTACCTTTTCCTACAAGCTAGGGACGGAAGTACTGCAGCGATGATCTACCGAAGGCCACCCTGACGTGTTTGTTCAGAATAACTTGGGTTGTTTCAAGCAATTCGCAAAAGTATCGAAAGCTGGTAACCAGCACGTCGGCTTGCTACGTTCGGACAAACAGACGCCGCTAATTGCAGACAGATGCTGAATGCGTATGTTCGCCCCCATATCGAATACGCAATCCAAGCCTGGCAGCTAAGGCTGAAGCACGACCTTATTGCACTAGACCAACCTCAAGGTCGGGCTTCTAAATACGTGCTTGGAATGCGCCACCTTCCATAAGAGCAGAGACTTAAATGTTTGGAGGTAGACAACGATCGCTATCGCCGACTGCGAGGCGACTTGATTATGGCGTACTTGATTTTACACAATCCACATCATGTGTGCCGCCCGTTGGTGCAACTCAACTGTAACATCAAACTTAGAGGCCACACCTTGAAATTAGCAGAACGGTACAGTCGTTTGGCGTACCGTAGGAATTTCTTTTCCATTCGTGCTTGCCAACCATGGAAAGATCTCCCCGAATCGGTTGTTTCTTCACCTATGCTAGACATATTCACAAGTCGGTTGCATAACGCACTCCGCCACTTACATTTTCTTACTTGACTCTATTCTCCAACCTACTGGAGAATCTGTTATGTCACCGACAGCTCAGATCGGAGGCAATCCATGGCAAATAACAAGCAGGTAACTTACGGATGGATTGACTCGATAAACCCGCCGGGAGCGACGCATACAAGCCCACCTACTGCAGTGAGCACACGTGCAGCGATTCAACTTTCACTGCCTTCTAAATAGCCCAAGTTAACAGCAACGGTTTTAAAGCTGACACTCACTGGACAACACTACGCCATCTTAACTCTCGTGTGCATCAATGTTCCCGAGTCCAAATCTGGCACAATAAAAGGCAACTTGCTAGACGATCCCAACCAGTGGAGTTCCTTCTGCGATCCGATTGTATTCGGGTGAAGTTACTATGCTGAGATGCGTACCGCGTCATCTGACTCCAGTGCACTCCGGCGAACCTCGAAATCTTCGAATAACACTGAACTCAGCAGATAAGACCATGGCTGTCCTACTCTCAGCAGTTTGTCTTCGCGACTCAACGAGCGGAGTGCACATATTACCCGATCTCCATTGGAAACATCACCCAAAGGAAGCAGGTGATCAACGCGACATACCAAATGCAGTTGCATAAAAACATGTTTGTATATAGTTTTCCCGGGCTTCGGGATTCTCCTGATTGTGATGCGCAAACTTATGATCGAGAGCAGTAGTGCTACATCCGCGAAGCAATCTCACTTGACAATATTACTGTCAAATCTTTGACAACAGTTCCTTCGTCAGCTTATTACAAGGGCTGCGGTTCAAGATTAATGAAAGTAGTATTACACTCCGATGGAATGACGTAACTTATATTGGATAAGTGGCCCAAGCTTCGAGCCATGTTGAGGACCGATATCCATCTAAAGGCAGTAGATGCAAGACCACAAGTTGTAAGCAACTCGATATAATTTGCAAATGCCGTAAATTCTTCGTCTGCACAGTGCTGCGGAGAGACCAACACAACCACACATGCGGGGCACAACAGGACAAAGCGCAGCACGAGCGAAACTTCTGATCAGGAACGTTCAACAATGCCTATGCAACTTGACTGAAATTCAGAAACCAAAATCCGATTAAAGGCCGGCCACCTAACGGTTGACTTAAAAACAAACACAAATTTGTCGCTTACCAACGCACTCTTAACAACGATAAGACTATCCTGTACGTACACAAACCCCCAAGGCCTTCTAAGTAAGTTGTCCGATCTTAGAGAACTGCATGCCTCACAACCAGGGGACATCGTCATGATTACAGACCTGGTTAAACCCTGAGATAACCGATTCGGAGATCCATTTACCCGCTATACCGCTAATTCGGAACGATAGAACCGGAACGCGTGGTGGTATGATTCGTTATTATATTACAAACATCCGATGTGAAGTTATCGACCATCCGGAAATCCGCGTTCCTGATTCGCCCTGGTGCCGCCTAAAGTTACGAAACAAGGACACAGGTCTTCTAGCCGTAATTTACCGTCCATCAAACTAATTGTCGGAAATGGACTCCAAACGGAGCCACGTCCTTCAGTCCGCTTTGAACAAGTCCTACATCCACATTCATATTGCTGTAGACTTCAATGTGCATGACAAGGAAACGTTAACAACCGATGGTGAGCAGGTATATCCTGCTTACAAGAGCTACTTGTTAGCCATCCTCTGTATGACCACGTAACCTCTCCGACCGGATTTCGAACTGCTAATAAGCCGTCGATCCTGGATCTTGTGCTCAGTAACAAAGAACTAATGGTCGACGGGATACTTACAAGCATGCCACTGAGTCGCAGTTATCATGCAACTCTATTCTTTTGCTATATATGCTAGGCGGAACATCCTGAAAAGGACGATGGTGAACTACAAACTGTCACGCACTATAGCGTGCTGTCTACGCTTCTTAAGTATACATCTTGAACTCACTTAACCGAATGCCCCCATTTGTTGCCTGGGAAACGTTCACAA